AGTCTAGAGAGAGCTCTCTGGGGCAGGAGGGTGGGGGGGGGTTAGGCGGCAGGCACGCCTGGGTTTTTCTTTGCCTGCAGTGCTAGGATTGGGACCGATGTGTCTGTTTGATGAAGGTGGGTCTCTTCTGCCCTACCAATTGTTGCCACTACCAGAAATGTCCAGATACCTGGGGAAAAGGCAGGGCAAAGAAGAGGAAGGAGAAAGTATATCTATTCTCAGGAAGCAGCTACCACAACCATGGAGTAGGGAGGGGGCTCCACTGAGCCACATGTTAAAGGCAGGTTGGGGGCAGCTTCAAGTGTTCCACAGCTTCCAGAGATGGATGCGTCTGTTCGCGCAGCGAGATTCACAGAAGCCTGGCATTTAACAGATGTTACCACGTGGATGCATTCCTTCTACCAACACCTGTGGACAGCGGCAAGTTGCTTGGCCCTCTGCTAGTTACGAAGATGACCCCTACAGAACTTAGGGGGAGAAGCCTTCTTTGAATGCTGACTGTCCTGTAGAATAATAACAACCCTTCCCCAGGAAGCTGAGATAATGGACCACACTCTTCTCCACTACCTAATGCAAAAGCAGTTTTGCTCATTCAATTCAATCATTCAACATTTATTGAGAGCCAGGCACTGGGCTCCATCCTGGGAATACGAAGATAAATAAAATATGATCCTTCGTTCAGAGAGCTCCCATTCCAGTTCATCTGTTCGCTCCTTACGAGCAGAAGTTTAGACACTTGACTTGGTTCAGGAGTTACTCATTGGCGTGTCCTTGCAGTCTCTTCTGCCCTAAAATATGGAGGCTTCTCAGAAAGAAGGGACTTGCCCCAGGTCACACAGCTACTGATGGCAGAGGTGGGGCTGGAACCCTCTATTCTGGCTCTTGATGTGATGTTCTTTCCTCTGTACCAGCGGTTCTCAAACTTGAGCATGCGCAAGCATCACTTGGAGGGCAGTTAAGTGTGAACGGCTCAGCTCCATCCCAGAATTTCTGACTCAGGAGGTTTAGATGTGGAGCCAGGAAATATGCTTTTCTAACAAGTTCCCAGGAGATGTTGCTGCTACTGGACTGGAGGCCACACACACCTTGAGCATCATTGGGTGGCACCAAAGCTGCCTTGTCCTCCAGCCAATGGACATCTCCAAGATGGCCCTGCCTTCCGGGGGATGCACCACCATCGGGGCGATCTGGGGTGGCCATGGTTGAGTTCTAAGAGGGAATCAATGCATAACACCTTTCTCTTCCTGCTGGAGTTTGGAATCAATTGAGAAATGAAGCACTGGCAGCAGAGACAAACATTTATCTGCTTTGTTACAGATAAAGCTGATTGAAAAGCAAGGTTTTAGATATTAGGTCATCAAAGTGTTACTAAAAAGTTGCCTCTGAATTGAAACTTAACCACCCAAAGTGTTGGCCTTGGTCTTGCTGGGGCAGAACGCTTGCACTGGTGAAGTTCACCACACAGCGCAGAGTTCGTCAGAATGGGCTCTCTCTGGGGGAGGGTAATATTCCTCAAATGCAGAACCCAGAACCCACCCAGCTTTTTCTCCCTGGGCAAGAAAAGCCTCTGGCATCTGGGATCTGACCACGGACTCGCAGCTGGGCCTCAGTGTTCTCCTGTGCAACGTGAAAAGTTTCTCAGAACGTCACTCTCAGACAAGGCCACTCTGTGACTGCAGTGACTATCAAAACAAAACAAGGCCCCTCTGTAATCATGTCTGAACAAGGACAAGACATGAACATTGTCCCAACCACAAAATTCCAACATCCCTGTCTCCTTCCTAACATGAGTGGCTGCTGCTTCCTCACACATGACAGCATTAGTTTCATTCTGGTCTGCCCCTCGCTAGAGATAAGATTTATTGTGGTGCGCAATCATAGAATCAGCCCCACTTGCATGAAACATCTAATTCAGAGCAAAACCATGCTTTCTTAAACTCTCCCCATGAATCAACTGACACAGGCCCAAATCCTTTAATCAGTCCTTTGTAACATCCTCTTACCGATGCCCCATGTTTCCCCCTGGCATGCAGTCTTCCTTGCTCCGTGGTGACAGACCCAAGCTGTTTAACTACAGGCAGATTCCTGGTGGTCTTTGGCTTCAAGACATTGATTGATTGATATCCCAAACTCACCAATCAGGGGAGGAGTGAGGACGAGGGAGGGGCGATGTGGATGCGTTCCTCCTATGGTTTTCCCCTCCCATCTAAGGAGGCTGAGAAAGAGGGAAGAAGTGTGATGTCCACCCACCTGGCTAGCCCAGTGGATACCGAAGGCCTTCACGCCTACCTGCCAGCTGGTGCCCCTTGGCTTGGACCTCAGGTGATGGGGAATTCTCAGATCCTTCTTTCAGCCCATTAGCTCTGTAAGAAATTCATCTGATTGACACCCTTCCTGGTTCTGTGGTTGGCATCCAGTTTCCTGGGAACGTCCCATGAAAAGCCACGATGCAGAGGCTTTTAATAAATTGAGGGGCTGATCAAAAACATCATGATGACAAAAATAGCCACCGCCAGAATGTCTTATTTACCCAGTGGAAGAAATGGGCGAAGAAAAGGAGATGGCAGAGGACAAGTCACAATGCCAGAGTGGCTTCAGACCATGCTGGCCTCCACCATGATGTGGAAGCTTGAGAAGCATGAGGTGTGATGTGAGAACTTCAGTAGAAGGGACCTTCGTCCCAGCCACCATTTACAGACTCCCTCCACTTTGCCCATCAGGCCTCATTTAACTCCCAGGGAAAAACAAAAACACTTTTGCAGAAGAAAGTGGTTTCATTACGGTTTTGCTCCTGAGAAGAGCAGGACTCAGGGACGCAGGGACTTGGCCTTGGGTCACCCAAGTAGTGAGGTCTGTCTGCTACCAGATCCCACGTGCCAAACAACAGCAACATGGCCTTTCACTGTTCCCTGAAGTCTAAACTATTTTCAATGTTCTGGCTAACTACTAACCACTGTTTTTTGTTTTTTTTTTCAAAGGACGTTTTATTATGTTAACCAAACCTCTACTCTGCAATTAACTCTAATTACACAAGCAATTAAATTGGGAGTAAGATTATTTTGCAGTTTAAAGCTATTTATGCTGACATTAGATTTTTCTCTAATTAATTCTTATTTCTTGGTTATAATTGTTACTTAATTAACAGAGTTTCTGGCCCTGCCCAAGCATTTGTTTAAGCGCCAGGCTCTCCCCTTGCTCGGGGACCTGAGCACGACATGTGTGCTTTGATGGGGCATCCCACAGTGGGGACAGAAGGATCGGCCAGTTCTGTTGAGCTCCAAGAAAGAAAGCTTGGCTTTATTAGTTTGTCGCTCAAAGGTATGGAGGACACGTGGAGCTGGGTAATATGAGGTATAGTATTTTAAGTGCTCTATGTGATTAATGACCCCAAGCACTAGTATGAAACTGGGGTCCTCAGTGGGGTCCCCCAAGGTCCTAGAGCAACCTTCAGTGTTTAAGCATGAGTCCCTAGTGGGGTCTGCCTGTAGGCCCACTGTGGGTTGACACAGGCTACCTCAATCTGTTTCTGGCTAGACTCTTGGACCACTTATGGGGAGTCTGTCAACAAAGTCTTCATCATCACATGTTGACTCAAACCAATCGGAAACTCTGAGAGGATGTCGTCGAAGTCATAGAGCCGGGTGTCGATTAGAGGGCTGACGTTTGGATAGTCGCAAGCTAGCAACAGAAAGTTTTAATAAGGCTCCCTGGGTGTGAGAAGTTGAGGAATCACTGACAACTGCAGGTTAACACTGTTCACAAGCTGACTTTGGAAATGTCAGCTCATCTAACTTTTTCTCTTCTTTTGCTAAATTCTTTCTTTCTAGGTGTCTTGAGACTCACCCCGTCCACGTCCATGACCACAACCTTTTGACCTTCATTCCCAAATCCCTTTTAGATCCAAAGAGGGTTGCCAGATATTGCAAATATTGCCTGAGACATGTTGACTCTAAAAAAACTATTCATTGTTTATTGAAAACTCAAACGTAACTGGGCATCCTGTATTTTCACTTGCTAAATCCAGCAGCCCTACTCTGAGTGGTTTAGGAAGTCTGTTCTGCAGAAGGAGCAGATGGTCCCTTCCCCAAGTGCCTTCGCATGGCCTTACGACATTGTAAAATGTCATAATTAAATAGTAGAGTGCAGAGTACTTTAAAGCTGAGATTTTCAACCTTTCCAAATCTGAGGGCTCATTTATTATATGTAAATATCATAGGCTCTTACATGAGAGCTGTTTTGGTTGGTTAAAAAATCATTTAAAAATATTTAGTTGTATTTTGAGAAACCGCTCATGATGGTGGGAAGGGGAACCCCAGAGAACACCCCCTGCAAGAGATCTGCTCCTTAGAGACCCTGGCCAGTGCTAACTGCCCCCTTCCCCATCTCCCCAGGGCACACGTTCAACAGACTGGACTTGTCTGAAGTCCTCCATGGGTCAGCAACTTCCACCTGACCCTGGGCTTGCTGGAGGAAGTGAGACTAGCTTAAGCCCCCTGGACTCCCACCCCAGTGCTCTCTCCCAAATGCTCTCTCAGGGAACTCAAAAACAGCTTCTCCCCACCCGATAGTGGGGCATTTCTAAGCTGGAGGGTCATTTTCAGTCTATGTCCCATTTTGTTACTCATCCTCACCTTTTGGCAAGGCCCACTTATCCATTAGAACTGGTAGGGCCCACAAAGATGTTTTAATGTCTTAATAAGATGGGAAAAAAAGTGAACTTGTAGGTCAAAGAAAATGTTTTCACATAGAATATGAATCTATGTGTCTTTATACCAATATAGTCATCAAATGCCAATTTTAAGATTAAGAAGGAGGAAGACCCATGAAGGTAAAAATACCCAGGGCTCCCAAAAGTCAAGTAATACAGCCAACCTCTATAAGCTCTGAAGGCAAATGCTTTTTAGAAATGTTGTCACAGGCCCGGAGGAAGGTGTCAGTCATGTGTGGAAGGGAATCGAACATCTGTACTCCTCATTCTAAAATATCTCGGATAGGTTTCAAAAGGGCTTGGAGAAAAACTGAAAAGAGCTAAGATGAGCTTCCTGGCAGCCAAGAAGAAGAGGGAACCCTGTTCTCTTCCGAGAAACACAGCGTGTGGATGGTGAAAACACAGTGCTTACGGGAACCCTCTGATGCAGATGCTCGAACAGACTCTTGGCTGCACTTGTGACCCAACAGCAGAAGGTGAGTTCTCACCCTCCTTCTGAGGAATATTATCTGGTTTCTTGGCCAAGCTCATGAGGCCCTAAATGAGCAGATCCCCGCCCGCCTCTCTGACCTCGTCTCTCACTCCGTGCTCCTTCACTCTTCAGTAAGCCCCCAAGCATGGCTGAGCCTCTAAACCCTGATACTTGCGTTCCCTCTACCTGAAAAGCTCCTCCCCTTGATCTGCTGGTCCTTTGGGTCTCACTTTCAAGGTCAAATCTTCCAAAAGACATCCTCTGACCTCCTGGCTGGTGTCTCTCCCACATCGTCCTCTCCCTCTGGTATTGTTTTATTTGGTCTGGAATATTTATTATGATCTGAAATTGCCTGTTGTTGGGCTGATTGTCTGTCATCTGTCTCCCCCACTGGCATGGAAGCTCCTTGAGACCTTGGCTGTCATTTTCTTCCGCATCCATCTGCATTCTGCCTGGAACTGGGTAGCAGCGCAGAGAATTCTTGAATGAATTAATTAATTTAGGACAGGTGCATCCTGGTAGTCAGCAGGGACCTGGCTGTGCTGTGAATTGACAGTGTCGTGATGGAGCGCAAGTTCGCAGGTGCAACTTTGGGGCTAGGAGCTGGGACCGAGCAGAATTTTCTGTGTAATGATGCAGATCAGAATTTACAGTCCACAGGAATCCAGGGGGAGAGAGGAGGGAGCATGCCCATATTTTTTTTCTCTAATCAGAGGCAATAGTTTGTCTCTCCATTAGGAGAGTACATTTTCCCACTGGATCCTCTTCAAGGATAGCTCTGTAGTGAAGGGACTTTCTGACCAAGGAAGCATCTTTCTGATGAGTTCTGCCATCCTCAGGGGGACTCTGGTGATGACTTATCCAGGAGGACAAAACCAAGCAGCCCCCACATTTCTACATTTTCACACAATACTTCCTCTGATGATAATGTAAACACTGTAAAATGTTGAAAACATCACCGGGTTGTACTCGGTACATTTGTGCCAAAGCCACATTCCAGCTGAGTCTTGGACTTGGTGAATCACCTGAATGCAGCTATATTTAGGCCTCTGCATGCTAGTGTTTCTATTTGTTGCTGAGCCTCAAGGAGTAATTCCAGAGAACATCTCTAGTGTCCCGGTTTCCATGGAAACGGCTCTCCCGCTTTGAGCGCCAGCCCCAGAAGCCAGGAGGAGAGTCTGTGCCACGTCCTCTCCGCCGCTGACACAGAATTCGAGTTTTGCTCCATGAAAAAAGCCCAGCCCGGTCCCTGGCCCCTAGGCCTGCTCTGGGAAGCGTGGGTCAGTGTGGTTTGGGAGAGTTCAGGGCAGAACTAGCTTTATAAGCCTCTCTTCATCTCAGACTTCTCATTTGCATGCCTTTGTCTTGCATTTCCACATCCTTACTTTAGTGTCATAGGATAATTGGAAGCACAGAATCTGTGCGTTTTAAGTAAAGGCTTCCGATTGGAGAAAAGAAAGAAAAAAAGATAAGACATCAAACTGTTAACTGTGTGACATCTGGGAAGGACAGGGTCCCTCTAGGGCAGGGGGACATTCACTTTTGTTTTGGAATATTTGAATTTTTTTCCAACAGCAGTCTTGGATTTCTTCTAAAATGAGTTAAAACTAAAGGGTTCACTTCTTATTGAACGCACCCTGAGTTGGCCATCCGCGTGTGTTCCCTTCCATCCATCTCAACCGTTCAACCCCATTTCAGCTGGATTCTCTGGAATCTCAACGAAATCATGGTAGCTTAGCAATAGAACCAAAGCAGATTTCCAAGGCCAACAACAAAAACATTCACTTGTTTCTCTCCTCTGCTCCCCTTGACCTTAAGTTTAGCCAGACCAAACTTACTGGGTGTGTCCAAACTCATCAAGATGTGCACATGTAAACAATGAGGTCTACTGTGTAGCATGGGGAACTATACTCAATATCCTGTAATGCCCTCTAATGAAAAAGGATATATATATATATATATTCTATATTTATATTCTCTCTATATATGTATTTGTATAACTGAATCATTATGCTGCACACCAGAAACGAACACAACATTGTAAATCAACTACACTTCAATTAAAAAAAAAGATGTGTACCTAACACATGTGCAGTGTTCGATACATCAATTAGGTCTCAAGAAAGTTAAAATAAATGCACAAATTTAATTTTTGAGTTCACCAAAGTTGCAACCTGTGCATGATTTAGCAGTCAGATAACACTACAAGGCTTCATGTATAAAAACCATAAAATGAATAAGGAGAATGGTACCTCACTTTCCACTCTTTACTCCAGATTTCTGCTTCCCAGGGGAAAGATCTTGCAATGATGCGAGCTCTTTCTTCTGGCACGTCCCACTGTGATCTAAGCAATGCATCTCTGTCTCTAGTACTGTTTCTTAATGCTCCAGTTTTAGATACTGTCCATGGACTTCTTCCCATGGAAGATGAGGAGGATTTAAATCACTTCTACACCCTTCACTTCAACATATGCTTTCTCTCCACCCATCTTCCCAATGAGGTTGCACCATAATATTTAGTTAGAGCAAATATTCTGTGCATACATTATGCACACATATATGCTAGTCACAGCTGAGTCTTGTATGACGGCATTGCCTTTCTTTTATAACTATTTGTCTCTGGAATTGTCTCTTTTATCACATGCTCAGTTTTTTTTTTAATAATGCCTGTCATTAATTCATTCTAGAGCTCTCGGACATAGGTGCCAGTCTCCTTCCAATACATTCATTCATCAGGGGTTTCACTGGCCTCATCATCTTGTGCTGGCATTTCTCTAGGAGGCACCTCCTGCATCTCCCACCTGGACTGACTGCTGTCAGGTCCTGCTGCACAGCTGAGTCTGGGCTTCTCCCTTCACACCCTCCCTGGGATTCCCTTCCTCTTTTTCTTGTTCCAGATTCTGTGTTTTCTGGACCCCACATCTTCCTCTGTCTTGGTTTTTCCCTCTTGTTTTTAGCAGAGCACACCCTCCAGTTAATCCCTGAAAAGGGATGCCTGGTCCTGTATTTCCCTCCCTACCATCACGTTTAATTGTTGGATGGGTATAGGATTCCAGAGTGGACACCATATTCCTGTAGAGTTTTGAGAACACTCCTCCGCTTTTCATGTTGTTCTTGAGAATCCAATACCATTTTAATTTCTGATTCTCTGTAGATAATCTATACATTTCACTCACCCTATCCCCTGATTTGAAGGCCTTAATTTTCCCCATAGTCTTAAATTTTCTAACGAGGTGACGTGTCCTTTTTTTAACTTTTCTGCTGCGTACTTCCTGGACCCCATCAATTTGGAATCCGGTTTTAGGAACTTTTCTTGTGTCACTTCTATGGTGAAGTCTTCTCCTCTGTTCTAAATCTTCTTTACTCTGAAACTCCTACTTTTTCTTAAAATTGGGCTCCCAGACTGATTCTAGAATTTTTTTAAATTAATTCCCTTCTTTTTTTCCATTTCCTTTTCTCCCTGTTCTCTATCCTGAGACGTGATCTTCACTTGATCTTCCTAAACCTTCCTGTGACTTTTTAATTCTTTCTGTCATATTTTTAATTTCTAAGAAGTCTTAATTTTTCTCTGAACGTTTCTGTTTTATATATAGCCTTTTCTTTTTGTTTCATAAATGTTCTCTTTATTTTGCTGTTTTGAGTATAGTTTTTGCTTTGTTAAAAAAAATAGTTCCTTCTACTTTCCACTCCAAGTTGGATTTTCTGTTGGTTGGTTGGTTAGTTGGCTAGTCTGGTTTTTCTCTTGAACTGCTTCAAGCATCTAGTGATACTTGGCAGTCTATTTACATCAGAGAGGTGGGGAAGGAAGAATTTAGCGGTAGAGCTCATGCTTAGCATGCACGAGGTCCTGGGATCAATCCCCAGTACCTCCATTCAATACATGCATACATACAACCTAATTACCTCCTCCCCTCCCCCCACAAAAAGACAAAACAAACAGTTACACATTGACATCACAGAGTGAGTCACTAGAAAGAGGATTAGAAGCTGCGTGTGCAGGGGCAGGGCTGGTTGACGAGTTGACAGATGAGCTTCACTGTGGGGTGATCTGGTCAAGTTAATTTATCAGCGGGCAGCTCCCCACAGCTGTAATTTCCCAGGGGTCTTTTCTCTTAGACTAGCCTGTTTCCCCCAGATTAATCCTCCCATGTCTCACTTGGAGTTTGTATAAGCCTGGATGACGGTGTTCTTAGCCCTGAGATGGGAAAGGTGGCTGATGGAGGAGGTAGCACACTCACCATTTGGCGCATGGATTTCCATCTAATCCCCATGATCAGCATGACAGCTCTGGCTTCAGCTGTATCCGGAATCCCAGAATCTCGTCATCATCTGGTTCAACACCTCCAGGGAATAAAACCTCAGTTTTCTCCCAAGATGAGGGAGTGTCCCAACTCTGGTAGCATGGGGTGAATCAGGGGTCCAAGTTTAAGTACTTTACTTTTTTAAGTTAAAATAAGTGTTTTAGTCTTTTTTCGTGGGGAGAGGTAATTAAGTTTATTGATTGATTGGAGATCATGGGGATTGAATGCAGGACCTCATGCATGCTAAGCAAACACTCTACCACTGAGCTACACCCTTCCCCACCAAGTTTAACTGCTTTTTATGCAAAGTGTTAGCTACATCCTTTTGCTTTCAACCTCCTCTGTACCAACCAGGCATCCCTTATCAGGAGTTTACTGGAAGGTGTGCTCTGTGAAAACAAGAGAGGAAAACCAGGGCAGAACCAAGTCTTCTGAGGTGCTGAGGCGAGGCTCAGATTATGTTAAAGTAGTCTCCACTCTTAGCGTAGGGTTCAGCTTTCTCTTCTGCTGGGTCCGTGATCTCCTGGCTTTCTGTCTTCAAACTTCCAAAACGTTCTTGCTTTCGTCTTCTCTCTTGATCTCTGCTCTTGTGGCTTTATGTCTGTTTTTAAATCTTTTTACTCACACTGGTGCAGGGTTTCAGGAAAAAGCAAATGCAAAACTGTTCAAATTCTAGTCCAGATCGAGGCCCTCATACGGACATTTTATGTGTATTCTGACCAGGATAAGCATGTACTGGCCCATTTACTTTGAGGTCATCTCCTTCAGTTAGCCTGTCCTTCCCTTTAGCAAGGCCTGGGTCACTGCCAGAGCAGCTAATTGTGAGAAAGGGGGTAAACACTGAGGATGAAGTCTTGAGAACCCAGAATGTATTTGGAAGTGTCTCTGCCTCCCACCGGCCTGGAATAGGCCCTCCTCTCTTGGCTGCTCAGCACGTCACCCCCTGTGCATCCATCAAGCCCCGAATCAAATGGCCTCTCTGCTCTCGAATCAGAGTTGTCATGTGCTCATCCAGGCTCCCATGACACCTTCTTTCGTGCTTTAGATTGGCATCGCAGATGGCAAACAGCGACTATGGGAAGATACTCCAATGTGCTGGTGTCGATGGCTCCTAGTCATTTCTTTCCTATTTTCATAACTGAGTTTTATATCTCACTTTATTTTAAGGTTAGCTAGATTATAACTAGTGTTTTTCTTTGCATGGAAGAGTATGCTGGTGACACTCTTTCTGAATTTTTGTTCAGCTGAGAATTTCCTCTCCTGCCCTCCCACCTTAGTCAAGTTGATTAATTATCCGGGGGTCACAGCAGAGGCAGCCTCTGGGGAGGAGAAAGGAAGGTGCTCACTCACATGTAAGCGTGCCTTTTCCGACTTTGTTGTGGTGGTGGTTCCGTGTTAGTGGGGGCGCCCACATCCCCAGCCTGCTCCCTTCTCTAACTGGATCGCCCTCGCAGGCTGTGGATACCCAGTGGGAGCGGGGATGGAGCACAGGCGCCTTCCTGTTCCCGAGCATCCTCAGACTTCAGTGCCAGCCTGTAGGAGCAGCAGGAGGGAGGTCGCCCACCGCCATCCTCCCCACAGCCCAGTCACTTTGAATTATTTCCTCCAGACAGCTTTTGCCTAAACATTCTGTAGCATCTCAAGCAGGTTGGCGCTGGCTCCAAATTCTATACCCCAGAGTGGTGGCTCAGAAGGTACCTCTCCTTACTGAAATGCTCGGCTTTGGCAGGCTTCATTCCCCACGTCTCAGCTGAGATGCCCATCAACGTATCCGTCAGCATCCCAAACTGAACAATTGAGATGAGTCAAGGATGCTCGTCAGCTAAGAACCAGAACTCTTTTTCTTTTAATTATGATACAGATTCCTCATACTGTTGTCTCCCTTTGGTAATGTTGCTGGGAATTAGGGAGGAGTGGAGGATTCAACGCACGGGTCCCTAAGACTGCCATGTGGGTCCGGTGGTCAAGAAAGCGACTCTCATCTTTCTGTTCCCAGGGTTTGTCTGGTGGGCTTCATAAATCCATAAACCAGACATGGAATGAATCCTGTTCCAGATGGCTTATCCCAACCTTAAAAAGCACCCAACCCATTTCATTCAGGCTCTGGGCGTTCACACATGGAGGACAACTTTAACGTCATCGCTGTTGTCCCCACCCCACCCCCCATACTTATTTCCCATTGGACAGTGGCAGGCTTTGCCTCTATTCTGAGCATGTTTCGGTTTGGAATCCAAATGCTTGATTGACGTCCATATGAAGTGATGATTTGTTGGCAAGTGGAGGCTTCTGCCTCTCCAGGTCTGTCCCGTCCCATTTCAGAGGGCAGATAAAGTGATGTGATCCAAACAGAAGTCTGGACTGGATCTTTCACAGTCGGTTAGGGCGGGCTGGGAGAAGTGCAGGCTCCCTTCTCCTTCTCAGGGTGACAGTGTGGGCCAGGCTCACAGTGAGATTTTGAGGCCAGACTCCCCACCCCCTCCTTCCTGCTTTGCTCATCACTGGTTCTGGAAGCCAAGGTACCACCTCCTAGGAGGTCTTAGAGAAACTGTTGGTGACATCAAAAGGAGATGCAGAAAGGGCTGTTTTCCAGTGGAAGCCTTAGTGGGGGAGACCAGATGCTTTTACAAGAGCGGAGGTTTTATGTAACAGAAATCAACTCCATCAACAACTTAATAACAACATTGGGCCCCATATACTCGCCCCACAATGTAGGTGTTAAAATTCTATTCCATAAATGAGGAAATTGAGGCAGCAGTGCTTAGCCACATAGGTATCCAATAAATAGTTATTGAGTAAATAAATGAATGAAGGACCAAGGTGACTTGCCCAAGGTCGTTACAGCAATTAAGCGGAGAGTGGGGATAATTCCAGGAGATGAGCCTCTTCCGTGTGTTCCAAGGAAAGCAGTGTGAAAACTCAGTGCACAACAGGGTAACCCAGCCATCTTAGTTTTCCTGGAACTTGCCCAGGTGTAGCACTGAAAGTCTTGCATCTCAGAAAACTCAGGCCTGGGCAGACAGATCAGTCGGTCTGCCTGGCGCACAGGTTTTCTTACCTGCTGGAAAGTAAAATAAGGATGATTGAGGAAAGAATGACTCAGATTTAAGAGCATGATGCAAACATCACCAACAGGTATGGGACTCTGCAGCCCGCCAGGCGTTTCCCTATCCATCTTTTTAATGTTCACAGCATCCTGTCTGTGTTAGGGTTTCGTGGTATCCCATGGTAACCAACACCACAGGTATTCATGGATATAGTCAAGGTGAAGTTGTGGGTAAACACCAGGCATGGTGTTTTTTCTGGGAAAAAGAGAAGATCATTCAGGGAAAAGATGGTGCAGGTGGATAGGTTTGGGGCAGTGGGGGACTCACATCTTCAAGAAGGACATCGGGGAGGTGTGGTACAGACTCTCACCTGCCAAACCAGTCCACGTGGTATGATAAGGAGGCACGGGCTCTCCATTAGCTACCAGCACATCCCGGCCAGGCCCTTTCTGGCTATGCTTGACCTTGAACAAGTCCTTGATGTCTGAATTTTGGATTTTTCAGTTATGCAAGGAGGTTCATGCTGCCCATCTGGCATGACTTTTGCCGAGATTAAATGAGACAAATCCTGGAAAGTTCCCAGCACAAAGTTCCTTTGACAGGAATTTGAGAGATATCCGTTCCCTTTCAGATTTCTCAGCTTTTTTTCCCCCTCTGTTGAAAGCAGCAGAAATCCAGTTTAAACCAACTAAAAATGAAAGTGAATTTACTGACTCAGGTAACTAGGTGCTTTAAGGTTCAGCATGGCTGAGTGGACGGAGGGAACCCTCATGTCCCCAGGGTTAGTTGGTTCTTTCTCTGTCTCACTCTCTCTCTCTGTCTCTTGACCTCCCATCTCTGTTATCTTCTGTGCACTGGCTCAATTTTGCCCACTTTTGCCTACTTTCTGGGCAGGCCTGCTTTACACAGGCACCAGCGGCTCTGAGCATCCATCTTCCAAAACAGCAACACAAAAACTATAAATATATATATATATCTACAATCACAGATCCATCCTAGGGAAGGTGTGGATTGGTCCTACTTGGGAATGGTCTCAGCTCTGGACCCATGCTTGTGCTCAAGCGGTCTTGGGTCTTACCTGGGCCGTGGATCTACTGATTGTGATCTAGGGCAAGTGTATCATTTACCCTCCAAACTGAGATTCCCTGCAGAGTGAAAGGGTATATCTTCATAATTAAGCCAGGACCACAGGCAGAAGCCAGACTGAGCCAAGGAACCTGGGATGCATGGTGACCCTCCTAAGTGCCAAAAGAAAGGAATCACCAGGGAGGGAGAGGGGGTGGGGAGGGATAAATCGGGAGTTTGGGATTTGCAGGCACTATACAGTATATAAAATAGATAAACAACAAGGTCCTACTGTCTAGCACAGGGAACTATATCCAATATCATATAATAGCCTATAATGAAAAAGAATATGAAAAAGAAATATATATGTATAAATGAATCAATCACTCTGCTTAACAAAAAGAAGAAGAGAATCAGGGAAGAAGATAGGACAAAAACTGCCCTGCCCAACACTCATATTTTCATATTTAAAATGTCCTCCGTGTTGGGGGAACATATAGCTCAAGTGGCAGAGCACATGCTTAGTATGTACAAGCTCCTGTGTTCAGTCCCCAGTACCTCCTCTAAAATGTCCTCTGTGGATTTGTTTAGAAAATAGCATTCTGTCCCCCAGTGCAGCACGTCTGAAACATTTGTCCTGCGTCCTTAACTGAGACAGTGATGTTTCTAGCAAATAGCTTTCAAATTTTTGGGTAATTTAAGCACAAGTAGACCTTTGTGATTCTTGTTCCTTATGCTTGCATTCAACTGCTGCTGTTCCCTCTTCTGTAGCTCCAGCAAATTCCAGCACCTCTCAGGTTTGGGGACAGCCTGAGGCCCAGGAAGGCCGCCGGAGGCCTCTCGCGGTTAGCAAGTCCCCACTGATGCTGCTCTGACTGCCTCTCTGCCAAGCAGTTGCAGTGACCAATCTGGAGTTAAATGCCCAGCATCCTTCTCCAGATGGGTGGTGGCTGCCAAGATGAGGATTCCATGGAACAATTCTAACTGAGTTACTACCCTATTTTAAAATGTATTTTTCAGCAATCCCACTCCTGGGCATATATCCAGCGCTAACTCTAGCTCGAAAAGATACATGCACCCCAATGTTCATTGCAGCACTATATACAGCAGCCAAAGCAAGGAAGCAATCTAAATGTCCATTGATAGATGAATGGATAAAGAAGATGTGGTATATATATATATATGTATGTATGTATGTATGT